ATCAAATTCTTACGCAATTATTCGTGTAAATTTTAAAATCTGTATATAACCACATTTTATAATCTTATTTTGCCATTTTGATTAATATTAATATTGTTACAACTATTGCTATTGGTTTTTTTTTTTTTTGAGGGCCATCAGGTTATCAGTTTTATTACTGTCACATGTTACCCTCATTAAATAAAGTCCTACCTACCTACCTAACGTAAACCGTAAAAAAGTGAACATAAGCCGTCACTACTGTGTAACATTTTGTACGTATAGTCACTGATCTTAACAGCTTTTTTCGCATCAAGCAACATTTTGTTTAGCTTTCTTTGAGTTTTACTGGTAGAATCAAACGTCTGAAAAAGGCGCAGCTAATTAGTGAGCATATAAAGGACATCTTGTTGCAGCGATAAGACCACCCCTGATGACGGCACTAGCTGGAGTGTCAAAATGTCGGATTTGAATAGTATCTTCTCAGTTACATTTATCAAATCTCTAAACTAGAGTAGCATCAACTCATCAGTAGTAATTGTCAAGCAGATTGCCTTGAGAACTTTAATACCTATATTAGGTATCTAGATGTGCCGCTCTCCTCTCCTCAGTCTCCCTTTTTTTTCAGATTTAAAATCGCTTAGTCATTACCTTGTTAATCATAAAAATTACAATTTTCTTGATTATGATTGGTTTAAAAAACTCCTATTCTCCACTAATTCACTTGCCAAGCTGTTATCGGACAGTTTGTTATCCGAGAGTTCAATGAGCCAACTCGTGATAAACAAATCGGAGTCCCGCTGCGCCGTCGTCCGATCTTATTTTCACTCGTATGATTATAGCCCAAATTGAACTCTGCTCAGTCCTATCACTACTACTTATTACATAACTTAACTTACAACTACTTGGAGTGGAGAAATAAATAAGATAAAATAAAAAAATTACATGTCAATTTTTTCAATAGTAGTTTTAAAAAAAAGGAAATTTAACTTATGAATGAAACGCAAACGTGTGAATGTTCAATCTCGTGCTAGTTTTTCAATGAATTAAGCTGTTTTAGTTAACAAATGAAGAAACGACTGGAGCACGAAAGAAGTGTCGGGGGAAACAATTTGTGACTACGTCTGGTCTTGAAATGTGATGCCTGGCTAATTTGTAACCAAAAGTGGTTTTAAGTGTTAAAAAGTGTGAAATGGACTGTTGTCTCATGTGGAAATCCTGCGGTTTTGGCAAAGTTGTTATAAAACACAGAGTCAAAGAAATGCTTATTTTATTTCATTTTTATATTCTTTTGCATCAATTTATTTCTTTATTTTTTTGCACATTATTCTAGCATAATTCTAGATTCTTTCGCCTCACTATTATGCTGAAATTTATGCTAGCATAATGTTACAGCCCTATCCTTCTGATATCTTTGCTCTTTTCAATTCAGTAATTATTTCGTTGACAGAAATCATTTATTTTCTTAGCAACCGTCGAGAACCAATGTTTTTATTTTTCAAGATTAATTTTTATATCCTATACTAAATGACAAAATTTAATTTTTTTTCTCATAACATGAGCACTAACAACTTTTAAAGTCATCAAATATTACCCGTTGCGGGCACAATTTTGTTTTGATTAAGGCTGGTTAAAACAACACATAATTGTAAATGTTGTTGTGTTTTAAAATATTAAGGAGACCTTTTTTCATATAAGAAGTCTGCATCGCATCAAGGTATTGCTAATAAGTCGTTAGTCGTGCAAAGATAAATCACAGACGAAGGTGAATTCGTATATTTCTTGTTATGAACTGCTTGTTTTCGCCTGTTACCCAAGTAGTCAAGTTTCAGTTGATATTGTTTTGTAATATGACTGGACTGAAAAATTGATTGGTTTCCATCAAAATTTCGAGTCAGTTTTCGTAATAAGCTTCCAACTGTAACATAGTGCGTCTATTTAAAAAAAAAATACTCCCATCAGGAAATGAAATGTTCATTATGCAAAGTCTGCCATGTTTTGCCATTTACCGTTCGATTCAACTTCCTGTTGTTTTGAAATCAAGCGTTTCCATCGGTCGTCTTAAATAATTAATTGCGAATATCTCGCTTGCGGGCTCGTCCAAAATTTTTTTTTTCTGAATTCGGTCCTTTGCACAGGGGTAATGAAAAAAATCCACTTTCGGTAATGATCTTTAATACCAAAACAAGAGTTAGGCTAGCCAAGTACTTTCGTGCCCTCCTTTATTTGTCGTGTAATTCTTCCGACATATTGCCATTATGAATCATGAGGTAAAACGACCTCTCCAGGAATAACAACAGTATTGTATTGCATCAACTCGAAACTGTATTGAGTCTCTAAATGACTCTTTTCAAATCCTCAAAGAAGGCTAGTTAGGGTGCAAAAATCTGGATGAAATGTAAAGAAAACCTTACTCTAATTTAGCATACGTCGACAAATGCAAATTATTACAGGAATAATTGCCATACCTGGTTTTCTTATAAATGCTTTCCTTTTTAAACATTGACAATAAAAAAACATAGCTCCGTCGCCTGGATCCGGCAATTACTTGTAGATATGAAACTTATTTAGCACGCTTAAGAGTTTACGAGGCAAAACTCGAATGCGAATTGGCAGCATAACCATAGCAAGTAACTTCAGCTTGATGCGCTAAATGTGCGTTGAATGTGGACTGAAATTCCTCCAGCGCTTCTTTCTCTATATTTTCTGCAGTTTTTTGAAGCATCTTCCCTCGGCGTCGGGAGGTAGGCGAATCCTTGCTCACAAGCAGCTCTGCCTCTTTGAGTTGGTCAGCTTTCTGTTAATTAAAGTAATGACAATTTGTTAAAAACTGTTTATTTTAGAATAAGATCAAAGCTATCATACACCTTTAAATTTCCTTTATCAACGCTGAATTTTCAGTTACTTACTGAATTGATCGATATTCGCTCATTAGAGTTGTAAACAGCTAACGGTTCAGTTTGCTATTTAGTATGAAATTGTAGTCAATTTTTAAGATCATAAAAACTAAATGCTCCAAAATTTGCAGATACAGAATTTGGCAGTTTACTCTGGCACTTTACTTTCCGTCAATGCAATATTTTCAGTATGGAAAATTTATGTCGTTTTGTCATACTTGCTCACTTCACTTTGCGTTATCAGTGAACTGCTCCCGAGATTTCGAGTGTAATCATACCTGCTTTGCTGCCTTTTCCTTGGTTTTTCGCAGCATTTTAAAATAACAAGTTTCCTCTGCAAACTTTGGTGTGTTAGACAATCGCCGCTTTGGTCGCGGTTTTTGTGACATGACGAAAGATTTTCGTGAGACAGTATTTACCAGGAGCTCTTCAAGTGAACGGTTCATCAAAGGCACTCGAACTTGAATGTGTCAAACAGCTGTGTCAGTGAACTGTATATTCTTAGGTTACTGCAAGCGGTGGAAGTTCTATCGTTAGCAACTGTTGTGGAAATTGCCAGGCCAGCCAATACGTTTTGACGTTTGGAGTTTTAAAATGTAAATAGGATACATGTATTGACAGTTGATATGAACAGATGTTGCGTTCGTCCAAATTACTTTGTTTTGTTTTACTTAATTAAGATGTCTTCTTTATTCCATTAAGACGTGAAATGGGTCTCAAGTGATAACTAACTTGAAAACAAACCGTTTCGCCCTGAGAGAAAGTTTTGCATCGTAGTCTTAAAGTTTATCTCGACATAACATTATTGTTACCATGAAATATCGCGTCGGTTTTTTGCAGGGTATTAATTGCAACGAGTCTGTACAGGCAGCATTTGCGCGTAAGGCGTCCCAATGACATGAAAACTAGTTCAGGTCAACTATTACGACATAAAATTCAAATGAAACCCTACTCAGGAGAAGAGTGGGGAATGTATAAAGTATCTATTTTTTAAAACAAAAGTGAGGAACTGTAGTTTTCGATATTCTATCACTTTACCACAGTATGAAGAAGTCTAAAACCGGAACTTTGCAATTATTTTGGTTCTTAACTGAAATAACAAACACAGTAGGGAATTCTGTGGAGAAGGAGCAAAGTTAATTCTATCTTAAAATGGCAATGGTATATTTTTTTTCCTTCTTCTTTTTTATGATAAATGGATTTTACGTGAAATGACAATCGAAATTTGACCTCAAAACAGAAAAATTTAGATAATATCTAATTTCTAAGAGTTTGGGTTTTCATCAAAAAGCTATGTATTTACTTTGCACGACAAAGTACTTTTATGCTGAGTTTTTGTAAACAGGTTAGCAGAGTGTCAGTAAAGATGGCAGGATTTGACTAAAGATTCTGTTCAATCAAGACCCAATGCTAATCGTTCCATCTCGGGGACCCTGATCAGTATTTTATTTTCTACCGTGGTGAGTCAGGTGGGGTTCTACGTGCAATTTAAGGTTTCAACAGTGTATTTCGTACCCCTTTGAACCTCCTTGATACTCCTGCGATACTCTTTATGTTTATTTGTTATAACTCTCTCAGTTTCAAGAAGACATAACAATCTACGGCCAGTAACATGCTTTTGAGAATTCACCTAAGGCCAAATTTAGATGCCGTCTGACCTCACTAACTTGGAGTAAAATTCGAATATAGACCCACCCAGATTAATCACAATAGATTTTAATCTTTAAAAAGAAAAAACTGCAGTCGAGCATGATTTCCTGAGCTGCGGTATATCGGCCTGTGTTAGGAGGAAGTCTTGGACGTACTAAACTCACAGTAATAGAAAATAGGGAAAAAAACAGAAATAAACTACAAATGTGGCGTAGATGATTCATTTTTTTCCATCTTACCTTTCAAAAGTAACTTTTTTATTGAGGAGGAAGTGACTTACAACTTAATTTGTTTAAATGGCAATATCTACCAGAAAAATATATCGCTGAAGCTATAAACAACATTCGAAGCGAAATTAACCATTAAAAAAAGAGATGTTATTAACACGTTGATGATGAATTTTGGACTGAAAAAAAAGTGACAAAAACACAACTTGAGTTTATCTTTTGAAGAAAGAAAGACTTCTACTAATATCAAAGAAATAAGTAGAATTAAAAAAAAGTAAAAGGTTCCGTCGATAAAAAAATATTTTAGGAGTAAAATGGCTGCTAGATCGGTCTCCCTCCAAAGTTCCGCAAAACACTCCTAAAACGAGCATACACCAAGGAAAACGCGAATTGCGAAGAGCGTCTTCATTCTCCATGACAAGGAAAACTTACAAAGCCTCCATTCCGATGTTTTTGTGCAATTTGTATCATTACATTTATTCATCCACGATTTAAAAAACGTTATAATTTCTCAAGTGTTTGTGTTGGTTCGTGTGAGTCTCAGCGCATGAAGCCTTACAAGAACCCCTTTTTTGGCTGAGTAACATCATCAACAGGATTTGTTTGCATTACTAGAACAAGATATAACATTAGTCCAAAAGCGATTAAAATCTCATAAAGCGTGATGATGATTTAAGTTTTCACGGAAGGAAAATGAAAACAGTGGTTATCACATGGCCGGGCATGGATGCGAATTGTATCTTCTGTTATGATGATATCTCTCCAACACGAATAATTCAAATCGTATCCACAAGCAGACATGTAAGGCCCTGTTTACTATAATGAATTCTTCAACTGAGTAAACAGAAGCGAACCTTCCCTCGGCCATTTTTCAAAGCGCGCGGGTTTTGTGCAACGGCTCTCGCATGACGTTCTCTTCAGTACGTTCATTCATCATTAGTGAAATTTCGTCGTTCGCGTTGCTGACTGGACGAACGATAATTTTTCACGGTGAAATTTTGTCGTTCGTACTCCTGATTGGCTACATTTAGAATGAGTACGAATTTTATTCACTACGATTTTTGTGGGTAAATCTCAGTACCTATGAAATAAATGTATATGTTAATCGTATGTTTAGTTAAGCAATAATTGTGATTTCGTACACCTTTATTTAAAGATCATCAGAATATGAAACCACCAATGAGGAATAAGCATTTTTTCTTCATCGTTTGAGTCATAATTTCTCCCTGCATGGTTATTTTGTTCTTACAAAGAACCTGAATTAATTTTCACTTAAAGGCTCTTAAAATAACAATTTTGTTCATTGTTAACAACTGGCGGAATTGGGTATTACATTCCGGCCAATTACCCTGAGTGACTCTACCGACCTTTTGACAAATCGTTGGTTGAGAAAGTTATGGAAGTGTAATTACTAGTCTTGTCCTGTTAGCATTACATATATCTATAATTGATGGTTTTTCTAATAACTATTCAAGGTATGAAAAGTTAAACGCAGTGTTGTAGTTACGAGCGATAATTGCAAATCAGTAGCTACTGAGCTTTGAAGAAACTCTTTTACTAATTTGAATACACTCGCATTGCATGGACACGAATAAAAAGAAAGTTGTTTTTATGAGTAAGCCGCTTCACTGAGTGAACTGACAATATTCCTTCAGCAGATTTGTCTACCTCCTGATTACTTTTGTGCCTAATTAGTCCTCTACACATACACTACACCAATAACGCCGCTTATAACGTTTTCATAAACTCAGTAGGGTATGTCAATATTGAAATCTGTTGCAAATAATCAGCGTTTCCTCCTTAGTTTTAGAATGTGTTGCAAACAACACCGAGTTCATTCCAAAAAACGGGATTTCCTTTTTCGATTTAAGAATTTTACATCATAAAAAGCTTCGATAGTTAAGTGTGCGCTCTGGCATATTGATAAGAAAATGATATTAATTACATTATCACTATTTACAATGAATCAGCATTTTGGGAGTTAAAAAATTTTAAAATTTATCATAATATTTGTCGTTTGCTTCCATAATTGTGATTTTAAGGACGACATGTATGACTTTTCTAAGCTGCACGACCAAAAATCTCTCAGGGAACTGGCATAATCTTCAGAGAAATACGCAATTCCATCGACATTAATGTGCCTAGGTTACTAAACGAAGACGGAAAAATGTTAAAGGTTTATCCACCTGTCTTGAGTGTGGGAAACATCCATATGTCAGCTTTTACATTACAAACGGCGTTCAACTATCGGACTTTTAGTTGTTATAGTTCCATCATCCAGACATCTCACAATTGGAAATGGGCATCTCTCAGGATTTAATCCTTTTGACTCTACTGGTAACTTTCCCGTTCCTCGGTTTTACATCTGCGGATTTACAGGGCAAGTTGCAGCTGGAGAATTTTCAAAGAACGCACAACGATACATTGTCAGATCTTATATTTTTATTAGACACCTCTGGAAGCTTGTGGTACTACGATCACTCGAGCAGGAGCATGAAAGTTGGCTTCGACGATGAAAAAGTGTTCGTCAACTCGTTGTTGAGCCACATACGAGTCAGTTTGGCTGCAACAAGAGTTTCGATAGTTTTATTTGGCACCAGAGCTACCCTCGATATCAATTACGTGACTGATTTGAACATTAATAATCACAAGTGTAACTTTAAGAAAAGCTTTTACGCTTTGAAATTTCGTTCTGGATTAACCAATATGCACGATGCATTCCAGTACGCTTATGACATCATATTTGGAACTTTAAGTGGCAACAAGCGACCAAATGCGCTTGCTAAAACGGCCGTTTTCCTTCTCACAGACGGAATGTGGAATGCTGGTGGAGATCCTAACAATATTGCTAAAACATTGAAACAAAATAACATTGAGATATTCTCAATTGGGGTGACGAATGGTATCAACGAGAACGTGTTGAAGCAACTTGCTACTGATGACAACCACGCATTTCATTATAATTCTTTTACCCAGTTCAGGGAGCTAGCGAATCATCTGAGAGGAGGTAATTCAGACCCGAAAGGTTACGATACTCACCAAATATCCTGTATACGGAAGGAAAATGTTTCAAGGCCATTCATCGTTGGATCTACCCGAATAAACTAAGATAATTAACCCCCCGATAGGATTATCAAATCAGTAGTGATTTACCGATCGAACACTTGATTAAATACTCCAGAGAAATCATTCAGAACTAGGACTCTCCGACCAAATCTCAAGACAATTTCAAAATTTTTTATTTTAAATTCTAAATCATTTTAATTTTTTTTATTAATGGAGTTGATCGAATGTTTAGCCTTTACATGATAAAGAATGATTCGTTCCAAAATTCGAACATTCCATATTAGTTTTCTGATAAAACTTACTTTGAAGCGGAAGAAAATGCTAGTTTATACGAAATTTTCTTTTAATCAATATCTTTTCACCCTATTGTGCTGTTCAGCCCTCCTTCATTGATAACAATCTCTAGATAGTGGGCAGATTGTGATTTACCTTTGCTAAGTCTTTAAGCGTTATGTCTGTTAATTTTTCCCCTACCAGATCCATACGAGATAGACTGGGAAATTAATCAGCCAATGAGTTTTTGTGGTTCTTGCGACGGTATAGCTTATTGTGCGTGCGGTCTTCTAAGCGGGGAATATAAGTGTTCTTGCCCTGAGGGTTTATATGGAAGCGGATACACT